GGCCTAGACCCTTCTTCAGAAGAAGGGTCTAGGCCCGAAACATCAGCCTTCCTGCTCCTCTGATGCTGCTTGGCCTGCTGTGTTCATCCAGCTCTACACCTTGTTATCTCAGATTCTCCAGCATCTGCAGTTCCTACTATCTCTAATCTCCTACACTTTCCTGTTGAGTGCAACTCCAACAGTACTTAAGGACCTTGACACAATCCAGGGCAAAGCAGCCCACTGAATTGGCGACATATCTAACAGCTTCACAATTCATCCTGTCCACTGCCAACAACCAGTAGCAGCAGGGTGTACAGTCCAGAACATGCAGTGACTCACTGAGGCTCATTCAGCAATGCTTTCCAAACCCGCCACCTCTATCATCTAGAAGGACAAAAGTGGCAGAACACCACCACCTGCAAGATCCCTTTCAAGTCAAACACCATTCTGACTTGGAACTACAATATCATTCTTTCACTGCCACTGAGTCAAAATCCTGAAACTCCCTTCCTTCCAGCTGTTTGGTTATCCCTATATCGCAAGGACTACAGCACTTCAAGAAGGCACTATCATCATCATCTCCAGGGCAGATAGGGATGAGAAATAACTGCTGGCCCAGACTGTAACACTGATATCCTGTGAATTAATTAAAACAGAATATATTTGAGTAAACTCTGTTTTTAATGAAGAGTTTGAGGTTGCTGTGAAATGTAAAATTGTGCACAAATTGTCTAACCCAGAAACATCTCAACTTGATTCTTTTCTTGTTCCAGTTTAAACCTACAAAGTATTCTGAAAATGAAAGGACCAAGTATTGTTTTAGAGCCCATTTGTTTTCTTCAGAATATTCAAAAGGCTCAAGTATCAAGTGTAACAAAGCACATTTTTGTTTTTAATTTCAGAACGGCCTGCTAATTACAGCAATTCCAGCTGCCTCTGAAATACAGTGCACCTAATACAACCTGATTTAAATGCACAATGGAGCGATTCAGGCACAACACAGATACTGCTTTGTACAACAGCACTGTATCACTTTACAAACACATATCTCCGTAGGTAATTCTTAAAGGTACATTATCTCTGAGAGAGAGGAGCTAGTTGGTCAAAGAGAAATTGAGATACTTGTATTTATATAGTGCCATGCTGAACACTTCATAAAAATGCTTCCAGCAGTTAATTTGTTCCTTGAAGTTCAATGATGGCTCATATGGAAGCAATGTTTGGCAACTAGGATGCTGTAGGACCATGTCATAAATGATACTGAGATGAATAAACACAATTACATTGGCCCTGACCTCCAGTTCTTCATTGAAAAGTGTCACAGAACCTGTAACTGATTGTAATGAGGTCAGCCAGGTGGATCTCATAGAATATGAGCTCCTTGATTGGGGCTGTTAACCTGCTGCAATCGGGGAGCCCTGGCTGACAGATATAAACAGGAGTTTCAGAGGCTCTGTTCATTCTGAGAGCTGGCTTGGAGAGAGCTGGATCAGTGTCAAGGACTCTCCACGTGTAAATAAAGGGTGACTTGGTGATGGAATACCGGCCTCTGTAGAGTTATTTCAGAAACTTCTCTGCCCTTCTGAGCCATCAATGGGACCTCAGTTGAGAAGAGAATCTGTAACAATTCCCTGGACTAGCAGTGTGCAATGTGTTTGAATCCATAATTTTCTGATTCTCTGGCTTGTGAGCTCCAAACTGGGCTGACCTAACAGCCAATAAGATTAAGCATAATGGTTTTGTGTGAATTTTGACAGCGAGTGTGTCAGTGATAGAATAGCTTCTTGACCATGTGGAAACAGGTCAGCACCTATTTTTCACAAGAAATTCTTCTTTAGAATATTGAGAATTTTTTTGGAGCAAGAGCAGTTGTAATTTAAGGCAGAGACATTTACTAATAGATCTCTGTAAACTGTTCGACATAATTCCTTTGTTATCTCTTCTCAATAGACTCCATCTGCTGGTACATATGCGTATGGTAACCCCAAGTGGACAAAATTCACAATGTAATTTACAGTACATTACAAACATTTTCAGCTAATAAGTAATTCAGTAACCACTTATGGAGGTTGAGACCTCTGTAGAGAATTTGAACGTGGATGTACAGATTTTAAAACTGAGTTTTAGGGACATGGAGAGCTTGGATGAGTTATGAGCCAAGTGTACTGAAAACATGCGCAAAGACAATCTGTATGATTTGTAGATTCGGGAGAGCTGAGTGTAGGGAAGCTGGCCAATCTCGTTTTGAGACATGATGGAGTGGCAACTGAGGAAGGGAATGATGTGGAAGGGATGACAGTTGAATTCTGCAACAATCCTTTTCTCGTGGTATGCGAGGATATGAGAAAGCATTGAAGAAAAAAGGCAACGAATCTCATCATTCTACAGATCATGTGATATATCCCACTACTGAATTTTGAGTTAAAAATTTCAAATTCCAAAGGAAATATTGGAAGATTTCAGATTCCATAGATTGTCCCATTCTCCTCATTCAGGTTTTCATCGTTATCCTCAACAACTTCTCAGCACGTGGTTGCTAATGTCCCAAAGAGTATCCTTATCTCAGTCTGCACCTACCTCTGTAACCACCATTCATTCCCCAATCAGTTATTTACTCAGCCTTTTTTTGTTACCCTGCTCTGAAGTTATTAGGAGTGTTGCCTTGTCATAATGTCTAGTGATCAATTATAACCTTGTTTTATTGTCAGTTTTGTTGGTGCAACATTAGCAATTCCAGTCATTCAGAGAACCCTTAATCTCCCTTAAGCCTCAACTGTAAGAGATTCGAGAGGGTTGGCTGTGCTTGCCTGGAGCAGTTCTTCAGCATTGTCTTCATGTCAGTCGTAATGCTCGCAGACACATTGATCTCCATTGATTCACAGAGGAGCTGTTCACAGTTGAAAGTTGTTTCGGAATCTGTCGATCACCCATCAAACCCTGAGCAAAGGTCAGAACAGAAAGTTGAAGACACAACTTCTTCTTCTTTCATTGAACAGGTGTTCCCATCTTTCTGGTTAAGCCTTTCTGTTGTCATTAGTTTAACTGTGACAGAAAACAGCAGCTCGGTGGGGAACTTCATGTGTGGGCAGGCTATAGGCTGGAATCTGGGAACTAGGCCGAAACTGTCATGGCAGCCTGTGAGAAACTATGGTTCAAACATGTGAGGTGAGCACACACCGGGTAATCAATGCTAGTATTACATTCAAGTTACTACCACAATTTATTGTTCAGATTGTGTACTGAGTTGTTTTTGTTGTATGCAAGGTACAAAATATGTCCCTTGCGGGACACTTTAACAGGAACTTGGATTTAAAGTTTTAGCAAAGATCTGTAGCTCGGGTTGTGGGTGAGGTTGTTGACTTGCTCGCCGAGCTGGCTTGTTTTCGTTCAGACATTTAGTCACCATGCTAAATAACATCATCAATGAGGCCTCCGATGAAGCCTTGGAATTTATCTACTCCACTTGGAATTTATACTGTCTGGTCCGTTAAGGTGAGTTGTGTCATTTCTGGTTTTGATCTGTATCGATTTGTAAATGGGGTCCAATTCTATGTGTTTGTTGATTGCATTATGGGTGGAGAATCGTGCCTCTAGGAATTCCCATGTGTGTCTATGTTTGGCTTGCGCTACTACGGTTACAATGTCCCAGTTAAACTGATGGCCTTCATTGTCCAAGTGTACAATACTCACCATAATGGACCCGACAGGACAAATTCCAAGTGGAGTAGAACAACATCACTTCATTGGAGGCCTCACTATGATGTCACCTAGCATGGTGACGAAATGTGCGAACAAAAACAAGCCAGCTCGGCGAGCAAGTCAACAACCTCAGCAACTTGGATTAGATAGAGGAGGAAGAGGCAGTTGGTGGTGGAGGCTTAGATAGAGGAGAGTCAGGTAGATGGTGGGGGAGGATTAGAAAGAAAAATTAAGAACCTTGGGCCTTAGCAAAGGCAAAGCTCTACTGGAAGTGTGGAGGACACACAAGAAACTGGAAATGGAGGAACTCAAATAAATGTGGAGCATTGTGTGGTTGGAGGAGGTTACAGAGGTGGAAAGGAGAGAGAGGTATGTGTGGGGCAAATGACCTTGGAAGAACTTGACATGAGGATAAGAATTTTAAAACTGAGATGTTGCATAAGGAGCTAGTTACATCAATCAAATAAGAAACAGACATTGTTGAAGAAACTCAGCAGCATCTGTGAAGAGAAAACAAAGGTGATGTTTTGGGAGTTCTAAAGAAGGGTCACTGTTCTTGAAACGTCACCCTGCTTTCTCTTCATAGATGCTACCAGAGTACTGAGTTTCTCCTGCAACCTCAGTTTTTCAGATCCAGCATCCACAGTTCTTTGTTTTATTACAATAACATCAATTACTTTGATAGAATAGACTGAAGTGGAGGCATATCAGTGCTGGGGTTGGTCTCATCTGTCTAGATGACTGTAAGTGAAGGCCCTACAGCAGAGTCACCGCAAGTCATCCTGGAATTAAAAAAGAATCTGAGTCTACAGCCTGTAGCTTAAGCATATGGGAACAGCCTCCACTTCAAACCCCACAATGGGATCAGAATAGTCCGTGGATTGAGAGATTAACTGTGTCCCATACCCACTAGTGCAATAATTTACAATAGGTGGCCAGCTCTTTGCCACACTTTCCCATGTTTCATCCTGAGCGTAACAGACGCCTGGTCCCACAGCCCAGCTGGAGACTAAATACATGACTGTCAGCGACACCTGAGAGACGCCTGAAATTCCCAAAAAGATCCAGTGCAGAAGGAGGTCATGCAGCTTTGTGCTTGTGCTGACTCTCTCATATCAGTGAGTCACTCATCAGCTGTTTCTCCAATGACCTGCCAGTGCTTGCTTTTCAAATATTTTTACAGTTCCCTTTTTGAATCTAAACTCTGAACTCAGTTGCACTGCCCTTTCACATAGTGCTATCCTGATTGTAGCAACTGACTGCATTAAAGGAAGTTCTCTTCACCTCTCCTCTGACAAATCGTTTGAAATCTGAGTCCTCTCTTTCCTGAATCTCCAACCAGAGGAACCAGTTTCACCATATGTACTGTGGAAATGGAATTAACTGGATTAATCTTCACAGAAGCGAGCACAGACCTGAATGGCCTCTCTGTTGTTCTACCATTCTATAACACCATATTAAAATGCCTCAAAGTTTAAACACCTCAGTTACATCTTTCAATTGTCTGTGCTCAGTGGAGATCCATTCTAGTCTCTTCTAGTCTTCTAGTTTCTCATTCTAGTCTTTTCCGTATAATTCAGCCTGTGTACAGCTCCAGTAAGTTGTCTCTGCACGCTATCCATGGCTTTGCTGTCTCTCCTGCTCCCGTGCATCGAATTCACTTTACGGCGAGGACCAAAGGTGGTGTCAGAGCCACCCCAATGGTGAATGGTTGATGAACCTTTTGACAGGTCGCTGGTAACTTTCTCGTTTCAGTACTCGTACGAGGGGACGACAATCAACAACCTGCCTGTCGATCTCTCTGTGGTCTGGAATGGGGACTTCAGCATTGACAACCCAGCGCACAATCAAGGTGAGCTCATGGCACTGTCCATGGCTGTGCCAAGCAGAGGTGCAGATGATGTAACCGTGGGGGTAGGGTGTGGTGGGGAGCAGACCATACCTTCACAGCTCGGCAGGGTTCATCCTTCCTGCAAAGTATGGGTATATGATTTTGCATGGTACTTGCTCCCTACCAGAATGGACTTTGTGCTAGGATATCAGTGCTAGGATAATCAACTCTGATGGGGCACATCCCTGTTATTATATTCACTTCCCACAACCCTATTCACCTCTAATACATTTCAAACTGTAAAATGAACATGTGCAAAGAAAATGCATAATTGTTCTTCTAACGCTCCATTCACTTTCTTCCCAGATGTTTCCTGCAACAGATTAGTCTTTAATCCCCAGAGACCCAGGGGCTGATCCTGGAGTGTGGGCAGGCACTGCAACCCCCATCCTGATCCCGAAGGAATGGGGGTGTGGGTTAATGAGAGGTGGCATGTGGGTTTCACATGAGGCATCTTGACAATGACCCATCTAAGTAGCCATTGCCTCACTGTTGGTGTTAAATTATGTTCAAGGGATTTGGTGACTCCATTGAGTTGGAACCCCAGACTAACCTTGCAGAGACATGGGTTTGAATCTCACCATGGCAAACGGTGAAATTTCAATTCAGTAAGAATGTGAAATAAAAAGCAAGGCTAACGGTGACCATGTCGTTACTGCTGATTGTCGTAAAAACCAAACTGGCTCACTGATGTCGTTCAGGAAATGAAATCTGCCCTCTTTACCTGGTCTGGCATGCATGTGACTCCAGACCCACAGCAATATAGTTAATCTGAAACAGCATAGCAGCTGAGCCTGGGCCTATCGTGGTTTATCTAGGTTGTCCAACACGAGAAATGAGACATGGTCAGGAACGGGAGCTGTCTTTTTCTCTGTCTTCTCCTGGCTTAATTTAGTTCTCATCCTTCTACTACTGGATATGTTCCTGTCCCTTTGTACTTTTGTATCTTACTGGGTATATGTCACGGACTAATGTTCAATCCCAACAGGCAGCTGGTTGAGTTTAAGGTCAGTGAATAAATCTGGAATTTAGGGCTGGTCTTAGTAATGGTCACCATGAAGCTATCAATGGTCACTCCTGTCCTTTTGAGAAGGAAGTCTGCCACCTTTACCCAATCTGGCTGACATGTGAATACACAGCTCTGACTTTTAACCATTCCCTTGCAATGGCAGGAATCAGCGCAAGGGCAGTTGGGGATGTGTAACAAATGTTGGCCTTGCAAGTGACAACCACATCCTGCGGAGAAATAAAGAGAAATCCCGTTGATATGAGTGCAAATTCAATCTGGGAATCTTCCTGCACTTTATCACCCATTGTGTCCCAGTGGCACAGGATTGCATGTACCCACTGTGACATGAAGAGAGCTGGGTTAAAATGCCCAGGAATAGGGTATACTAAGAGTGCATAGTGGTATATGCAACGTACAGCTGCACATTTGAGATTATTCCTTGTTGGTGGAGAGAGAAGAGTTTTATCATGGTGTCATTTGGACTGGATCCCAGCTGAAAGTACAGAACGTATGTATTGCCGGTCAGTTCAGTGTCTGGTCTCTCCAAAATCAGTCATTAATTTATTGTTGAAGCGCTTTCAGAAGTCGTACTGAGTTCTTTTTGAAATGAGTTGCAATTTATTTGCATCTTGTCTTTCCTTCTGAGTTAATTCTCTGTTGTTTTGCTGATTCCTTCCACTCCTCTGGCAGTTCACCTGTACAAGTGCGGTGTGATGCGGGAGAGCTGTGGCCTGTGCCTGAAGGCAGACCCTGATTTCGAATGTGGCTGGTGCAGGGCTGGTGGACGGTGCACCCTCAGGCAGGACTGTCCTGCCTCGGATGAGCAATGGTTGGAGCCATCGGGAACGAACAGGAAATGTACCAACCCTCGGATCACTGAGGTACCCAATTGCAAGGTGGGAGAGGGGCTTGTCCAGGAGGGTGTGACAAGCCAGGGAGGAGTAGGGTTCGTCAAATACAATGCTGCTGTTTCCCTGTTTAGTGAGTAAATAGAAAACATTGGACGAATTCAGCACACAAGTGAATCCCCTGAGAAAAGATTGCCACCGGTTAAAATGTCAAGTCCTGCCTGTGCTCCATTAAATGCCAAAAAACAAATCCCATGGCACTAACCAAAACTTCGGCTGCTTGTGTCCTAATGGTGATCATGTCCCATTTACTCATTGCCCTTGTGCCCACTGACGTGCATGGGTTCCTGACCCTGCAACAGATCTGTTTACAAAGTGTCATCGTTGTTTTTAAATTCCTCCCCATAGCCTCCTTTCTGTTTTTGGAATTGCCTTCAGCATTACAACCCTCTGAGATATCCATGCTCCTCCAATTCTAGTCTCATGTGCGCTCTTGATCTCAATCACTCTATCATTGATGGTCAAGTTTTTTGTTACCACAGACTCGAGGTTCTTGACTTCCCTCAGTAAATATCCCCTCCTCTCCATCTTCATACCCGTTCCCTTTAAAGAGCTGTTTGAAATCTAACTCTTTGATCAAACTTTTGGTCACATGTCCTAATATCTTTTCTGTGACTTGGTGTCAAAATTTGCTCAGTTGTGCTCCTACGAAGTGCTTTGAGGCATTTTACTGCATTAAAGGTGCTATATGAATACAAGTCATTGTTGATGAGTCTGGATCAAACCCTTGGAGGCAGAAAGGACACTATAAAGTGTCATAATCCTAGTGAAAGCCAGCCCACATCATCTATCTTCAATGCAGGGTTTCCTGAATCTTGTTCCCTATTGTTTCCCAGTAGTTCAGAATCCCTCAGCCTTTCCCTCCTGTAAACAATCTGTAAAACTGAAGCTTGGTGTCACATTTTCACTGCTTCCTGTCTCTCTTTCTGTTATGCTCTTTTCAAGTTTGATGCCTTGACCTTTTACTTTGGATGTCAGTGTATAATTCAGTTAATAAGAGGGAATGGTGGCATATTGGTAATATTATTCAACTCGTTATCCCAGGACTAGGATAGAGGGCTAGGGACATGTATTCAAATCTTATCGAAGCAACTGATTTGACTTAAACTTACTTAGTAGAAACTGTACTGAACGGTGGGTTATAAATAGTGGCGGCTGTGACAACTATTACAGATTGTTGTAAAAATCTATTTCATCGCAAATGACAGCCAGGGAAGGAGGTCTGCTACTCAGCAGGTCTGGCAGCATCTGTGAAGAGAAATCAGAGATAACGTTTTTGGTCGCGTGACCCTTCCTGAGGTTAAGCTAACACTTCAGTGCAGGACTGAGAATGTGCCACTCTGTAACTGGTGCTATCTTTCAGGTGGAGCTGAGAGCTCTAACAGCTTAGCTATTTGACTAAGGTGAGGTAAAGGATCCCACACACACACGTTGAAGAACCGTGGTGCCTTGGACAAAATTTAGCCTTTATACAACTCCACCAAGGCATGCTGTCTGATCATGCATCTTGTCTCTGCCTGTGGGAGCTTGCTGTGTGAAGCATGCATATATTACAACAGTTGCATAACAGTGCTATACAAATGCAAGTTTTCCTTTATTTTAACTTCTACAATTGAGAAATGGAGATTTCCTCGTTGCCCTGGTTCGAAGCTGATTGGAATACCCCGATCTGTGCTACATTTTCCAATATTCCTGACACCTTGTTGCTGGCTCTACTAAGCTAGTTGAAGTGGAGTGAGTTATTTACTAACCCAGGTGCTATATCTCTGTCATGTTTGGATATGGCACCACGGAAGCATTTGTTTACGCTAAGAATGTACATTCTGAAACCAGCTAAAAGTTTAAAATCTGTTACAAATCTGTGCAATGTTGGCCTGTGAAATATCATCATGTATTATTCATTAATATTTTCTTGAAAGGCTCTTTTCACCACTATTAGCACTGAGGAATCCCTCCACAGTTTATCTATAATGCAACATCAAAATCCCTAGTTGGCAGAGTGCCAGAGGAACCATCAGAAATCCGATCCACTTGGAATAATTCGATACTATTGAGTGTTGTCCAGACTGGCAAGGTAGCAGTTTTCTGGGTACTACAAACCAATTCAACTGGGATTAAAAATGGACAATTTGTGCGGCTAGAATAGCACTAACAGACAGAAGAAAGAGAGACCTGCAATTATAAAGCACCTCTGATGACCTTAGGAAGCCCAAATGTATTTTACAGCTAATTAAATATGTTTTTGAAGCATAGCCACCATGATAATGGAGGAAAAGTGACAGCTATTTTGCCTCACTGCTTGATTCCACACACAGCAATGTGGTAATGGCCAGCTCATATTGGATGATAAATAAAAATTGACCAGGGCTTTGTGAAGATCTCCCCTGCCTTTCTTCAGTATAGTGCTTTGAGATCTTCAAGGTTCAACTGAGTGGAAAGCAAGGGCTATGTTTAAACACTTCATCTAAAAGATCGTACCTTTGCCAATGCAGCACTCTCTCAGTCCTCCACTGGAAATGGATGTACAGGGTGGGGTGCTTGGGGGTGGAGTGTTGGATGCTGGGGATGATGGTGGAGTTGGTGGGGCGGTGGTTATAATTTGTGAAACTGAGCGCAACTTGCCCCATTTGGTCACTCTAAGGGATGCTTCCTGCCTGTCAATTTTGAGGCTGGGGGGAAAGATTCCCGGTAGATCCCCCTCCTTGGGTGGGAAGGATGAGGTGCTACCTTGCTTAAGGACCACATTTCCACACCGGGCATCAATGCCCTAGATCCACTTCTTGCAAGTACTTCTGCCCCCAACCTCTGCTTCGAGGTCCCATGTACCCCTCACTAGTGTGTGCTCTGGAGTGTGTCCTGGACTCTGGCATTTAAAATTGGGGACTGCTTGTAGTTTCAGTCCTAGCCACTGCTGGCTAGGAAGGGGGTGGGTGCACAGAATGTTGTGGATGTGGACGAAATGAGGGAGCAAGAGCAATTCTGGGAGGATGAAGACGAGGCTGAGGATCAGGACATTAACTGGGACGGCTGTTTGCAGGAAGGAGGCCAGAGCAAGCGGCATTGCCAGCTGCTGCTGCAATAAGATCGCAGTGCAGGGGAGGCTTGGAGAAACTATAAGTTCTGAGGCGATGTTCATGAAGTGGGGCTGCATGTACTTTGAAAACATTGAGATACTGCCATGGACTTGATGGACTTGAGAGGTGTCCTATGTCACAATAACTTTGTGATCTAACCAAAGTTTGCAATCTTAAGAAGGAGAAGCAACAAGGCAATGAATTTAGAGTTAATTTGTTTATTAAAAGTCTTAAAGAATATTGAATGAATCTGTGTATGTGGAATTTAGTCACAGGTTGGTTGACACCTCATTGTTTGATGGAATGGGTGTGAGTGATGAAATTGACCAGGCTTTGCAGAGATCTCCCAGGCCCTTCTTGTGATCCTGTTTCTTGCAATTCTGAAAATGCTCAGGGACTACCATCTCCTGTAGCAATGCTTAATTTCCTGAAGCAGTTGGAGAAGTTAGGGGTTTGGGTCAGCGTGTGGTCGTTTATTCCAGATCTGGAATGGGGTGTGGTTTCCAGGGACCAGAATGCCCCCTCCTGCCAACTAGGCCTCGTTTTATAGTCTCATAACCAGGCAAATAATGCACAATTGTGACGGGTTGGATCTCCTGAGGTTGAGGTCTTTACTTGCCTTCTGTTTGATTTACTGAAGCTGGGAAGTGGAAGGAGGTTGCATGTTCATTAAGGTAAACTATTCCAGGTTCCAAAATGATTAGATCTTCACATTGAGGGGGCGGGGGAAAAAACCCTCAGAGACGTTTTCTTTGTTAAAAATGGAATAAATGATATATTAATTCAGATTAATAAGGACATAGAGCGCATGAACAAAAAGGTGATATTGAACTTGTGTAAGACTCTTGTTAGACCGCAGCTGGAGTATTGTGTGCGATTCTAGGAGCCACATTATAGGAAGGATCTGAGCACATTGAAGCAATTTAACAAGAGTGGTTCCAGGAATGAGAAACGTCAGTTATGAGGACAGATTGAAGAAGTTGGGATTGTTCTCCTTGGACAGAAGAAAGCTGAGAAGAGATTTGATGAAGTTTTCAAAATCATGAGCGGACTGGATAGAGCAGAGAGGGAAAAACTATTCCTGTTTGAAAAAGGTCAAAAATCACACAACACCAGGTCCTGAGGAAGGAGCGAGGCTCCAAAAGCTAGTGATTTCAAATAAACCTGTTGGACTATAACCTGGTATCATGTGATTTTTGATCTTGTCAAACCCAGTCCAACACCAGCACCTCCACATCATGGCTGCTGGAAAAAGGAAGTGTAGAGGCGGCAGGTTCAATTGAGGAATTCAGAAGGGAATTGGATGATTATCTGGAAAGAAAGAATGTGCGGGAATATGGGGGAAAAGCAGAAGATTAGCACTAGGTACTGAAGCTTGTTTGAAGAGCTGATGCAGGGAGAATGGGCATAATGGCCTCCCTCTGCACCATAACAATTCTGTGATTCTGTGAATATGAGATGTCAATGAGTTTCTTTGTGGCTCATGGCAAAGCAACAGTTAGCAAAGCTCCCTGTCTCAGTGGTACTCAAATTCTCCCTGTACTATACCTGTGGAGTTCTCAATGGAAACAGGAAAGAGGTGTGGGAGAGAGCCTGACAGTGTTTGGTTAAGGGGAGTGCCAACTGAATGGTTCCATGTGGCAATATATTTACCATGCTGTGCCTGTGCTGACCTGCAGATCCCCTAGCATTTCCAGATTATCTCAGTTGCCATTTGTGAGCCAGATTATGCAAATGGCCATTTGGAAAGCCATAATTAGAGGCTCAGAATCTTGCTGTGTACAGAGAGGAAGTGGTTGACAGTGACTACCTTGTCTCAAGCAGCACCTGTGTGGTGTAATAAACCCTGAGAGGGAGACAGTTTGTACCTTACAGTGAAGGAGAAGATCTGGAAACTTGACAGATGAAACATGCTTTGTACTTGGCCAGCTTTTAATCCCTGTTTTAAATTCAGCTGTGGATCTGACCCATTCCCTCCACAGGAGCTAAGAGAAAACAAAAACCCACAATAATTAATGAATAATGGCGGGGGGGAGGTGGCTTTCATACAGAGACACACCTGTGAAATGGTGCACCATTGTACAGGACAGATCACAGTTCTGGATTGGAAACACAGGCTGCACGCCAGAGAAACCTTTTAGCTATTATTAGTCCTTGTGTTTACTTGGTACATTTTCCTTTCATAATCTCATTCCCCACATTTGGATGTTGTTGCAACTTCATTTATTTAGTCATTTTCTCTGTATGTTTTTAAAAAATATTCACTGCATTGTCTTTCCAAGCTGATGTTCTTAGATTCCACTGAAGTCTCCACTTCCCTTTTCTCTCATTTTCTTTCTCTCTCCCTTTAATGTAGTTAAATGTCTCAAGGAGCTTCACTGGAGTTTCTGCTAATTAAAACTTGACATGGAGTCATAGAAGGAGATTTTGGGACTGATTACCAAAAGCTCAGTCAAGAGGAAGACGCTGAAAGGTTTAGGGAGAGAGAATTAAATACACACACAGACACAGATACACACGTACATGTGTACACATACTCTCTCTCTCTCACACACACACACACATGTAGACATATACACACAAACGTGCACATACACAAACGCACACATATACATGTGTACACACAGACATACACGTACACACACGTAGATACACACACGTAGACATATGCACACAAACTGACATACACATGTACACACACATACATAACATGAATACACGCTGTCACACATACACACACATGTACACACACTCACCCACATACATACACGTACACACACATACACACATGAACATACATGTACGAATGCTCACACACAAGTACACGTAAATACATGCTCACACACACGCGCACACACACACGTATACACACACAAATGTACACACATAAACACGTATACACACACACGTACACTTATACACACACACACAAACAGGTACACACGCACCTGTACATGTACACACACAAACACAGACATACACACACACATATACACATACTCACACATGTACACACGTGCATACATGAACACATACGTACATGTATACACAACATACACACATATACATGTACACACACAATGTACATGTATACACCCACTCACACATGTACAGACATGTATTTACACACGCATACTCACATGTATACACATGCTCACACAGGTACGCATGCACACACACCCACACATACACGTGAGTATACACGTAAGCACATGTATACATATACATACGCTCACATATGTAAACGTGTACACATACACACATACATATTCACATGTACATATACATACATACATGTACACACATACAGACATGCATATACACATACACATGCACACATGTATTTGTATACACACATACACATGTACACACACAGACATGCACACACACACATATATGTATACACATGCTCATACAGGTACACCATGCATATATGTGCAAACACATGCACACATACACATATGTATGAACACACATATGTACACACGTACATACATCCACACACACATGCATAAACGTACATACGCACGTGTACATGTATACAACCCCCGTGTGTACATACACAGATCCACATACACACAAATATGTACACACACACACATTCTGATTAACACTTAACATTGTGAAGCTTAAATGAACGTACACTTAAAGTGTAATTTATGATATTTCAGAGTTCTAGTGAGACCTTTCTTGATTGATTATGTATTTATCTGTCTTTATATCTTTGCAGATAACACCAATACGAGGACCCAGGGAAGGTGGGACTAAAGTGACAATCTATGGGGAAAACTTGGGTCTGAGTTTCTGGGAGATTGAGAGCTCTGTGCGTGTGGCTGGAGTTGATTGTGTCCCATTGCCAGACGGCTACATTCCAGCAGAACAGTAAGCCACATTTAAAGCTGACTTGTTTGGAGGGCTGACGGATTAAATCTTTGGCAGGGTGGCTAGGCTGGAGCATTTGAGCTGAAGAGCCATGTGGTGTCCAATTATTTATTATCCTGTCCTCCCACGGAGATCTCATGCCCTGCCTTCCCTTGGGCAACCTATCACATTTGCTGCTTTAACGCACAATCTGAACAAAACAAAGCTCTCTGCAAGGATGTTCCTTGAGAAAGCTGTTCAACAGCAGGTAAATTGTTAATGCTTTACCTTTATGGGTTAGATTGTTGCTGTCAAAACCACCATGTTATTGTGTCACTATGGCAACAGTGACATGGAGTGTGCAGCACAGAAACAAAGCAGTGACTGTGTTTTATTCTGATCTTAATGCTCCAGCCAACCTTCTCTTACCCAATTTATTGATGCTATCCATATGTCTTCCCCTTTCTTTCTCCCTTGTATTTTTTTCTATCTTCTCCTTACTTTGATGCTCATTATCTCACTACTTTGTGCCAGTGAGTTCCACATTCTAAACACTCCCCAGGTGAAAAAGTTTCTCCTGAATTCCCAACTGAATACAATAGTGATTAGCTTATATTTATGGTCTCTAACTTTGATTGTCTTTATCAGTGAAAACGCCTTCTCCATCTTCTCCTTATCAATCTCCTTTGTAATTGTGAAGACCAACTAAAGAACAGTTCAGAGACTGTCACATTTCCAGGTGGTGTTAAGCAGCATCTGTTGTTAGAAACAAAACACAAAAAAAATTACACAGTACCGTTTTCACTTGCGAGTTATCTAATATGCGTGGTTGTAAAGAAAGTTATAATTCATTAATTCAGTCTCTGAACATGATTTACATACATTGGTTTTAATCATGTAAGCTCCTAATGGTTCATGTGTGCATTGTCATTGGCTGTTCCTTTGGTACCTGCTCATTCCTAGGGGCGATCTGAGGAGTATCATTCCTATGGTGAGTACTTTTGCTCTTGGTAACAGTTGTTGATGAGCCATTTCTGTTAGTGGGGGAGCAATGGATGCTCAGGACTGAAGATTATTTTTTCCTCTGCTGGTTGTGACATCCACTGTCTGCAATGAAACAAACAACTTTTCCAGGTGTACATAGATGTCTGTGAGTGTGAAAATCCATATGGTCGTTAACCATGTGCGATCAAATTTCAACTACTTTACACTGGTCTGAGACATGATCTGATTTTTGTTGATAGTATTGAGTGTTTCTCGCTACCCAATGCTCAGCTCAGTTCTGGCAATGGCAAGGCAGTTTTATTAATGTGAAATTTGGCTTTTTGTTATTTCACCTTGATTTTGCTACTCACTCCTGTTATTACTTCTGACTTCAGTAGTTTCTTTCACTACTAGAAAAGTAGCTTGGGCATGGTGTGACATTACTCTTTGGAGTGGACCAGGATCTGTGCTTTCAGTCAGTGTGTTTCTCCACTCAGGCATAGCCTTATACAGATCTGCGTGTGATTTCCTTGATTTCTTTATGACCCCCTTGGTGAATTTTGCTGCTGCCTCAGCCATTCTATTTGCTGGCTGCTGTGTAGTGTTGAATTTCCTAACATTTTATGAATTGGCTGAAGTCTTTCACTGGTGCACTGAGGGCCATCGGCACTTTTCCCAATGTCTGGATTATTGAAGTGTGCTTTCAGCCATTCTACAATCTCATTGGTGTCAGCTGGTCTAACTCCCATTAGTCAGAATGGTAATCAACAGTGAAGGGTTAATGGGTTTCTGTGAAAGTGAGGAGATCTGCTCCAAAACTTCGAAATGATTTGTCTGTCATGTCATACGCCGTTCATGGTTTATGAGTTTCCGTAGCTGGGCATTTGTTCCAATTGCTGCCCTGGTCCTTAAACTTATTGCTCATGTTCGGTCAGCACAGTGCTTCTCATGCCTTCCTCAGACTAGACTGAATTCCTTGATATCTGGCAAAGATGCACTTCATCTCTTTTTCTTATCTCCTTCTGGATAATGACACTATTTTCTTTGTGAAAGATGTCAGCTTGAGCCATCACTTCATCTCTGCACATCCAATACTGTCTTACAGCAACAGGTTTGTCTTTGGTAATTTCAGAGCATCCTTTCATTACTAATCCTATAGCACTTAGCGTGTTGTTGCATTGTTCATTTGATTTGAGCAAGATACTTGTTTTTCAGATTCCAGTGGATGTCAAAATGTTGCTTGTCATTGAATCAGAAGATTTCACACACTGTCTTAGCCTCCTAAAGTGCCTTCATAGGGAGTGCTGTTCTTGACAGCTTGTCAATTGTGTACATCTATTTCTCTTGTGTGTATGTCATATCTTTTCAAACAAAGTAACATTTTTTGGAGTTGTTTTGGAGCAGATAGAAGTAGATTGGGAAGGATACTATGCAATGGTTACGGTTGGACTCCACAGTCATTCATTGGTCCCATGCAGGTATTGATTAAATTGCTCACCAGCAAAGGTAATAGCTAGGCACTCTTTCTCAATCTGAGTGTAGCATCATTCAGTTTGTGCTAATGGTTGATTTTGCTGCATAAAGGTTGCTCCATATCCTGTCTCACTGCAAGTTCATTTCATTATTGGCATTATTGTAGAATGTCTGGTGATGCTGTTGCTAATTGTTTTGATTCTAGAGAATGTTGTAGCTTGTTCTTTCCACCATTACCACCTCAGTGAGAACTTCACATTCTAATAACAAATTAGGCAAGAGCTTTGCTAAGTAACTCACAATCTAACCAATCCTTGTGCTGCTTTCACATCAGTTGGCTGCTACATCCCTGCCACAGCTCTCACCTTGTTAGGGTCTGGGTGAAGTTCTTTTCACTGTCAGTATGTGATGTATGCACTTGACTTCAGGGATCTTCAATTGCATCTTTTTCCTCTTCAGCTTTAGGCTTATCTGGTGAGCTGTCTCTCACAATTGTACCAGATTGTGGTCTGCAATAGCGTCTTTAACTGTATCTCTATAACCATTGACTAGCAGATTATCCACAATGGTTTCCAGTCTGGGGAGACCACTGACTGATTTATGCTGTCTGTACTCAGAAGCAGAGGAAATGCCAAATGGCATGCTTAGCCATCCATATCTCTTGAATAACATCCAGAATGTTGTTAGAAAACTATTGCTTTCATCCAGCTCTACTTGCCAGGAACCATCCTTCCTGTCAAGTGTAGTAAAGACCTTTGCTGTGTAAGTTATGGCAAAATCTCTTCAATAGTTGGCATGGGGTAGTGAGGTCACTTTAAAGCTTTACTAAGATCCTATGGATTTGTGCATACAGTTCATTAGAACTCCAGATCTTCATTCTTCCAATTGCTTTGGATCTCAGTTGAAGTTGTCCTCTTGGGATCAGTATCGTTCCATTATTCAGCTTCAGCCTTCCTTTTGAAGACTTCATTTGTGTCACCACTTTGAGCTGCTTTGTACAGATCGGCACAATGCTGCTCAAAGCAGTGGTGCCTGTCAATCATTTCACATTCACTTGATGCACTGCTTCTGCAGTCATCATTCTAGCTGTCACAAACCATTCATCACCTTCAGACCTGACAATGCCAAATTGTTCTTTGCTATAAAGTGATTTTGTCAGAATCATGAGCTGATATCCCTTTAGCACTATCTTTATAAGCTTGTTTTGCTTCTTTCTAGATAAGCACCTGTGTGCAGAGTGATTCAACTTCTTGTCATTGTCATCTTTCCCAAATCGGTTGTGTTGTCTGCAACATTTTCTGCAAATATTATTCCTTTTTTCCCCTAATCTGTTGTTTTCATTTGGCTTTGAATGTTTCTCAGTATTATGCAAAGCCTCATCTGTTCAGCCTTTAGTACACTCTCTTGCTACTGATTGATGACCTCAGGGCTTCTTCATATATTGATGGCTTGTTTGAGAGGAAGGTTCTCCAATCTCAGAAGACATACCTTCACGACAGATTCTCTTGTGCCGGAGACAGTCCTATCCCTGAGATCATATTTCAGTCGTCTGAACTCTGAGGATACAGCTACATGTATTGGTACGATCTGGTCGATGCATCAGTATGGTCATGTACTGATCCACATCTCTCTCTTCTCCAAGCTCTGACACTGAACACCTACAGATCATACATAACATTAATATGAGGTTCAACGTGTGTCTTCAAAGCTTTCAAAATCTCTGCAGTCTGACTTTGCTGCTCCTCAATAAGATCTAGGCTGCAAGAGAGCTTGTAGAACTCTTACCTCAGCAACATTAGCAGGTTTGCTACTCTTAATTGCTCAGATTTTTAAAATTAATTCTATAGCCATTTCCGTGGTTTGCTGCGGAGAAAGGAAGAAAGATCAATTCTATCTCAAATCTGTTTCATTTCCATAACTTAAGGGATTGGAGAAATGCATCACTTTTTTTGACTTGCTGTGTAATTTAAAGCTGTTTTTTTGACTTGTTGCTCTTTCTTTCAGTAGCTAGCTCTCTTACAGCTTTGAAAATCCCCCCCATTTCACCTGCATTCCTCTGACACCATTTCCACGTGATATATGTTTACGGCCACAAACTGCATAGGGAGGCGCTTACAGCAGAGATCGAGGTCAGAAGATAATGGCAAACCAGTCAGGACACTAATAGCACATTTTGCATTTCTCCAAACAGATTTTCTGTTCTGCCTCTAAGCTGGACTGCCAATGGGGCCATGTGTGAAAATCCCCAGATCCAGACTTCCCATCCTCCTTTTCCTTGTCCACATGGGAGGAACATGCAGTCTCCCCCTTCAGCAAGCAAGTCAGTGGAAACTGGAGTCCTGTACTAACTCCAAGAATACTGCCACCTTGTGAATAGGATGAATACATAATTATACATACATGTTGGTTGATCACACCAGTGACTGTAGAACTGCGAAAGTAGTGACTCAACAAACAAAAATAATGAGGCGATATATCAAACAGATTAGGTTTTGAAACACAGATCAAAATCTGATCTGCCTTACTGATTAAAAGTACCAAAAATATACAACAAGGGGAGCAGAGGAATAAAGCATTTTCTTTGCACACTGCTTAAAGTTCTGTCCTGGTGATGCTTCATTCTAAAGCACCTATTTAGAATTTTAATAAAAATGTCTTTAAAGGCTGATATATCTGCAGCTACATTTTAAAAATGGGAATTAACTGTCCTAAAAGCAAATTACTGCAGATGCTAAAAATCCAAAATTATAGAAAGGGAGAGAGCTAGAAATTCTGTTAGGACAGGCAGCAGTTGTGGAGAGAGAAAGGCAGCTAATGTTTCAGGTCAATGATACATGAAACAAGTATTTCCCAGCCTCTATTTACAAAGAATTGTTTCCAAACTCTCGGTTATTTATGTTCTTCCCATTGTCACTCATTTGGCCCTTGGGCATTGTGCTGCATGATTTGGGGTACTGTGATGGGGCGGTGATAGACTGGACAGTGTTAATTCAGTCTCTGTTTTCTCAAAAGGATCATGTGTGAGATGGGAGTGGCCCGACATAATCAGCACACTGGCTTTGTGGAGGTCTGTGTGGAGGAATGTAAGCAGGAGTTCATGGCAAAGTCAACACAGCTGTACAGCTTTGTGGTGAGTGAGCTGCGGAATGGAAGAGGAGGATTACTTCCACGCTAAACGTGTTAAGTAGTGTAATGCGTGACAGATAATACTTAGCAGTGAACCATGTCACACAGTACAGCATGCTGGGCTTGCCTGTCTACAGATTATCTCCTTTGAGTAGAAATGGAATTAGACCAAGAGGAAGTTGAATCAATATGCCTCCTTCCAGCTGTTAGGTGTTAGATGTAGCTTTATGATAACACTCTCAACTTTGCATCAGTAGGTTTGGCTTCAAGTACCACTCCAGGGCCTTCAACACAGAGCCGAAGCTGGCAAGCCAGCGTATTACTAAGGTGATGCTTTATTGTCAGCGATCACCTTTTAGCTGAGATGTTAAACCAAGGGCCCATCTGCCTTAGAATCATAGAACCCCTACAGTGCAGATAGAGACCATTTGCCCCATCGAGTCTGACTGACCCTCAAAGGGGATCCCACCCTATCGCTGTATCCCCACAATTACTATATTAACCCACCTAGCCTGCTCATCCCCAAACACCAAGGGGCAATTTAGCATGGCCAGTCCACCTAACCTGCACATCATTGGACTGTGGGCAGAAACTGGAGCACCCAGCAGAAACCCATGCAAGACAGCAGGAGCACGTGTGAAAATTCCTCACAGACAGCCAACCGAGGCTGGAATCAAACCATTGCGCCACTGTGCCACCTCAGATCGTTGAATAAAATTCTTTGATACTACTCCGAGAAAGAGCAGGTGACTTCTCCCACAGTGTCTGCTTGATGTTTATCCCTCCATTACCATCACTAAAGATAGTTTCTCATTATTATCATATATATGGGCTCTTTATGGGCAACTTGACTGGCATGTTTCTGACATCAGTAACTAAAATTCAAATGCTTTGTGGACTGTGAATGGCTTTTGATGTGCTGAGGTTGTGGAAGAGGCACCATCGGTTTAGGTCTTCCTGGTCTTTATCTCTTCTAGTAGGCTTGGTGAAGAGGCCTCCATACCCATGGGGCATTGCCAACAAGGCTTTGTTTTTAGTTTTGTAATTTTCAGCCTTTACCTCTGTTTGCTGCCTTGTTGGTCTTGCCAAACCCTATGTATCCTGGGGCGGTAAAGGCTGGTGAAGCATCCACTTCCAGGCCTTTGGCCAAGATACTGGAGACAAACGGGAACAGTTGACCCTTCCTCTGTGAGAAACTGAACGGAATCCATTAGCCAGCTGTCTACCCATGAGCTGTTGTGGTAACCAGGGCCCAAGAGGTGGTAATCTACAGTATTTAATGATTGCATTAAAATCAAACAGAAAGGAGTTTTCCTGGTGTGCCATGAGGAATATGTTAAAACAAAACTCTGCAAATGATGGACCTGACCTTGTGAACTTTCACTAAGTCATAACACTGTCATTATTGAGGTGACATTGGATCCTCAATTCATCAGGTACTAACAGAGTAATTTGCAGCTCTAAGAATTCAATTGCAGTAAAGTTTCTATAGTCCCGGAGGACCTTAGGGTTGCTGTCTCATTTAAGAGAGATGACTGGTGGTGGTTTAACCTGAGGGTCACCATGCGTCAGGCGAGGGGAGAGGTTGAAAAGATCGGACTGTTGTGGTAACCTCAGCCAGTATGGGAAGTGAACCCGTGCTGTTGACATCACCCTGTATTGTAAAACCATAAGACCATAAGACATAGGAGTAGAAATTAGGCCATTCAGCCCATCGAGTCTGCTCCACCCTTCAATGATGGCTGATAAGTTCCTCAACCCCATTCTCCCGCTTTCTCCCCGTAAACCTTGATCCCCTTGATAATCAAGAACCTATCTACCTCTGTCTTAAATATACTCAGTGACCTGGCCTCCACAGCCTTCTGTGGCAGTGAATTCCATAGATTCACCACTCTCTGGCTGAAGAATTTTCTCCTTATCTCCATTCTAAAAGGTCTTCCCTTTACTCTAAGGCTGTGCACTCCAGTCCTAGACTCTCTTACCAATGGAAGCATCTTCCCAACATCCACTCTGCCCAGGCCATTCAGTTAATCAGCCATTCAGCTAAAGGAACTAATCAACCCGTGATGCATAAATAACATCACAACGCAAAAAGGATTCATGAAGTTGTGCCTTGGAAACCAGGGGTGGAACTTAATTTAAATGACGTGAGTTTAGCCCATCAGGTGTAAAGTTGTGCCACTGTCCTACAGCCCCTGAACCGTTGCTAATTTCTGGTGGGTTCAGTGATGATGAGTGTCAGTTGGGTCAATAATTAGTCTAACCAAGAACCCGTTATGAGCTGGGCACTTCCCCTCCAAGTGCCAATTCCCATTTCCAACCTTAATTGTGGGAGGCTTTCCTGTCACTGGGAGACTGATGGGCAATGTCTCCCATACTTTAAGTGGGAACGGCCCTTATTTTTCCTACCGTGATGGGATTACACCAATATGATTCATTTGGCCTTTGCTGATGAATATCAAAGACAAATGTTCCTTGTTTGAAAAGTGGAAAAATCTAATGGTTAAAACTGTTATGAAAAGAAGCCCAATTGGAAATAAAATGCCAGAATTCAGCCTGCAAAAAATCTGTTGATAAGAATGAGAATGAACATGGGGCTACCCAGGTTATTGTGATTGAAGCCCATTCTTGATTTTGCCTGTTCCATTCTCTCACATTCATCCAGCCCATTACATTTAGTGTTTGAAGCAGCCATTCATCTTACAGTATCTCAGCACGTGAGTACCTATTGCTTAAGTAGATTGATTGTACCTTACACCTGTATAATTTTGATTTGAATTTATTTCAGCTCCCAACTCTAACCAACCTGACACCAAGCAAAGGTCCAGTGTCTGGGGGAACAATGGTTACTATTCGGGGCAGAAACCTGGATGCTGGAAGCAATGTCTCAGTGATGTTTGAAGAACAGCCTTGTGTGTTTGACAGGTATGGACTATCAGAGAAGAAACAAGAATTAGTCAGTCAGTCCTAAAGTTGTTGATGCATTAAATTAGAGTGAAATTTATTTGATAATAGGCAAACATTGTTAAATTTGGTTCAAAATTCTGGAGAATGTTACCTTTTGTTGAAGTGATTTTTTGCGTGTATGTGTATGTGTGTGTGTGGTATGAATGTGAATGCAAAAGTGTGTGAGTGTGTATGAAAGTGTGTGGTATATACATACATACACAGTATTGTATAATAAATTATAATTTGAAGGAATATGTGACCCCTTTGTGTGACTGACTTTCAATATATTCTTTAATCATTTGTGACTAATTGATCTTGAGATGGAGGATTGTAGGAAAGAATGTCTCTTCTTCAGATGATTGGGTAAGCTGTTATTAAGGGCAGAAAGTGGAGCTCTCACTGTTGTTTTAATCTCAATTTTAATATCCTTACCCTTGTTTACAAATCCTTCAACAACCTTACCTCTCGCTACAGCTGTAACTTCCTTCAGTCTTATAACCCTTCCACATTTCTGTTTTCCTCCAGTTCTGGCCTTCTGACCTCCCCTGATTTTAACCATTCTATCTTTGGTTGTCATAACTTCAGCTGCCGAAGTCTGGTTTTCGTGAATTCCCTCCCAAAACATCTCAGCCCCTCTGTCTCGCTCTCCTTTAATCCCATGTTTTAAGACATTTGTCCTTATATTTCCTTATGAGCCATAGCGTCACAGGTTCTTTGGCCCATTGAGTCTGTGCCAGCATGAGGCTTGATGGTGTTTGGTTTTTTTGAAATGATAATACTCCTGTGAAGTGCCTTGAGTCATTTTGCTGCTTTAAAGGTTGTTGTTGTTTAATCGTGTTCCTGTTTCTCTGCCTAACAGGAGGTTTGCTGGGGGAATTATTTGTAATTCCACCTCTGCGCCACGCAAAGGGAACTTCACAGTGGTGGTCAGGGTAGACAAGGCAAGGATCGAGAAGGAACTATTGTTTGAGTATGTGGATGATCCCACCATTGTTAAGATTGAACCAGAGTGGAGTATAGTCAGGTAAGTAAAGCCCACCGATGTATATCACTGAGAAAATCACTGAAAATTAAAGAGGGCCTGAAATGGAAACAGAAAATGCAGGAATCATCATCTGTAAAGAGAACTGATTGGTTATTGGATACAATCCTTTGTTAGTGTGATAGACTAATAGATAGGCAAGGATTTTAAGAAATAATTCTCAGTCTGTTTCTGTTCTTCCCCTTTGTTCCTCACCTTTTCCTTCTTGCTCCCCTTCTCTCTTACCCCTCCCCGCCACCACCCATCTCAACCTCCTCATCCCTCTCTTTCCTCACCCCTCTCTCTGCACCCCTGTCTCTGCACCCCTCTCGCCGCACCCCTCTCTCCCCTTCCATCCCTCCCTCTCTCCCCATCCATCCCTCCCTCTCTCCCAATCCATCCCTCATCTCCACCTTTCTTTCTGCCCCTTTCTCTCCCCCTTGTCTCTGCCTCTTTTTGTGCCGTCCCCTCTCTTTCTTCTACTCTCTTTCCTGCCCCCTCTCTGCCTCCTCCTTTTGCTACCTCTATCTCTCTCTCCCCCTGCTCACTTCTCACTGCCTCTCTCATTCTCTCCCTGTCCATCCCAATATCTGTTAACTACTGGGATTGACATCAGAAGTATATGTAATGATGATATCAGAGTCATATGAGTAGGTCACAGAAGCTCCGACCTTACGTGAAAGGAATGGATCTAAAGATGTATCCGTAAATAAAGAACTCTTGCATAAAATGATTATAAATTAATCAGCACGTTTCTGAGAGACTAAACAGTGCCAAACTAAATGTGTAGCTAAAAGATATTTATCTCTTTAATATTGTCACACCAATTTTTAATTTCCTTCCTGTTTCTCAGCCTCATCTGTTCTCTCTTTCTTCCCATCTTTCTCTGTCAAAATACTTCAGAATTTTGTCTCCTGGTATCTTTGCAATAATTCTTTTAAAATTAACTGCACACTATCTGTCCTTTGTCTTCTCAAACCGAAGTTTCATCCTAATTATGTTCAAACGCCAGTGAATCTCACCAGGTCTTGACAACTGCTTCATCAGGTTCCCTGTACCAACCTTTCAACTGTTCCTCTGTGTGGTTCTCCTCTCTCTGAAAGTGATGGGCTGCCTCACAATGTGAAGGGTTTACCTTGTACCATTGAAATGTAACAATCCAGGATATCCCACTGATTGGATGACATCCATGGTGGCTTCAATAAGCGTTTGCAGCTTGAGACCTTAAGTCACAACTGTCAAAGTAAAGTTCACCAGTATTGATGGATCTACCTCCATGTCGATGAGATTTGATGTCCTGTTAAGAGAGCCTTCTCTTGCTTCCCTAAATTATTACGTCCAATGATCTTCCTTTTTCACTAGACTCTGATAATGATAGGGATGTGCAATCTGATAGTAGTGGCTGGGTTGGTTTATAAAGATTTGAAATGGCCCTGTACTGAGGATGGAGTGGAGACGTGTTCTGTTTCCTGCGTTGCATACAACGTGAAACTGTACGGCACAGGAACAGGCCCTTCAGCCCACTATGTCTGTGATGATTATGATGCTGTTCTAAACTAATCCCATCTGCTTGCATCCCACTACACCCTACCTGTTCATGTGTCTGTCTAAATACCTCTTTAGAAATTGCTATCTGTTTCTATCACCTCCCTTGGCAGTGTGTTCCAGGTACCTACTGCCCTATGTGTAAAAAAATCTTGCCTCTCACATCTCCTTTAAACTTTTCCCCGCTCATTTTAAACCTGTGCCCCCAAGCATTTGACATTTCCTGCGAAAAAGCCTCCAACTATCCACCCTATCCATGCCTCTCATAATCTCACCTACTTCTATCTGGTAACCCATGAGCCTTCCTTAAGGCTAATACGGTCCAATCCAATGATGAAGGTGCCCTGATGAACCTTTTTTGGACCATCTCCAAAGCCTCTATATAAAGCTTCCTATAGTGTGGCGACCAGAACTGCACACCTTACTCCAAATGTGGCCTAACGAAAGTTTAATACAGCTGTAGTGGTGGTACAAAAGTGGTCAGCACTACTGCCTCACAGTGCCGGGGACCCGGGTTCAATGTGTAGAGTTTGCACATTCTGCCTGTGTCTGCCGGGTGCTCCAGTTTCCTCCCACAGCCCGAAGCTCAGCAGATTTGGTGGATTGGCCATGCTAAATTGCACATAGTATCCAGGGTCATGCAGACTAGGTGGATTAGCCATGGAAAATGCAGGGTTACAAGGATGAGGTGGGATGCTCTTCAGAGAGAAGGTGCAGATCGATGAGCTGAATGGCCTCTATTCACACTGTAGGGATTCTGTGATTCTAAGAACATGAGGAAGGGTCACCAGACCCGAAACGTTAACTCTGATTTCTCTTCACACGTGCTGCCAGACCCACGGAACTTTTCCAGCAATTTCTATTCTTTTTTATATTCTGTATCCTGATCGATGAGGGCAAGCATGCTGTATACTGCCTTTAGCACCTTGTCAATTTCAGAGGTCACATGGATGACAAGCCGAACATGACTGTAATCTCAGTGTCTGCAATTGTTTCCTTGGCAGCGTTTTCCCAAATCCATACCCGCCTGTCCCCTCTAGTTTCCCCTCCACGTCACACAGCATCCTGATTTTGATGTTTGCTGTCACCTCTGGGTCAAGCATTGTAGGAATACCTTCATCACATGGACTGTAACCATGCAAAAAAATTATTTACCACCAATGTCTTCTCAGCAATGTCTTGGAATTGGCACTAAATGCTGGCCTTCCTAGTGATGCACATGTTTTGAGAATGAATGTAATCATGACTTATTTGTCTATTAATGGAAGATTTAAGCTTGTTTATTCCCTTTTCCTTTCCCAGCGGGAGTACACCTGTGATGGTATGGGGAACAAACCTGGACATCATCCAGCATCCTAAGATTCGGGCTAAGCACAATGGGGTGGAAACAGTCAATGTATGTATTTACCTCTTCTCAAGTGGTTACTTGCTATTTAGTTGTCAAATAGAGGTGCCAAACTCACCTCAGTGCATTGCATACTGGCTTGTGTTGTGGTCATTACTGTCAGGGGTATGCAATGCTTCAGTGTGTGTTCCATAAAGATTGGTAGACTGTGACCATAGTTGTTTGTAATATACATTAATGATTTAGACCTAAGATTCAGTAACGTGATATATATGTTTATGGATTATTCCAAACCTGGTGGCTAAACCTGAGAACAACGCAACATTAAGACACTACAACACCCCCAACATAAGGATGTGTGTTCAAGTCCCGTTCGATAAATTTGAGGACAAAATCTGCCGAGTGAGTGCTGCACTGCCAGTATGGTACTGCCTTCTATCAGGTAAACATAAAAGATCTTATGGTACTGCTTTGAAGAACACCTGGGAAGTTTTCCTAAGTGTCCTTTACACATTTGTCTCTCAACTGACATAACGTTTTCAAATAAAATATAATCTGGCCATTATCGCATTAATTGGGTGGCACAGTGGTTAGCACTGCTGCCTCACAATGCCAAGGACCAGGGTTCAATTCTACACTCGGGAACAGTCTGACTGTGTGGAGTTTGCTCGTTCTCCCTGTGTCTGTGTGGGTTTCCTCCAGGTGCTCCGGTTTCCTCCCACAGTCCAAAGATGTGCAGGTTAGGTGGATTGGCTATGATAAATTGCCCATAGTGTCCAAAGATGTGCAGGCTAGCTGGGTAAGCCATGGGAAATGCAGAGTTACAGGGATAGGGTTAAGGGGGTTGGTCTGGGTGTGATGCTGTTCGGATGGTTCCTGCTTTACATCATTAACTGCAAAGCTCTTTGGAATGTTGAAAGTATGTAAAAGCTACAATATAAATTCAAATCTTGATTCATAGCTGCTAAATTTGATTGTCCAGTCCTATTGACAAATACATAAGCAGTTAAAGCCAGTTCTGCAGTCTGTGTTCAGGCTGTATTTAGTAAAAATGTTTCACGAGGGAACAAACAATCTGTGGCTAAAAGTTCCAAAAGGGGAAAATTGAAAGTGAATACCAGTGAGTTAATTGGAGTATTCTTAAGCTGTTTTGCAGTGAGCTCTGAGTTAATCATAGAATCGTAAAGTGGTAGCAACCAGTTTCAGTTCATCAACTCTATCCAGTGTTCCTTTCTACTGGGAGTAATCCAATCCCACACTCCTGCTCCCTCCCACTTCCTTTATTTATTCCTCTTCCTCAAGCATCCACCTAATCTTCTGTCTGAAAATAAGTAGACACTCTATGACAACGCAGCTTTGTGACAGGCATCACCACACAAGGGAGTCTTTTTTTTTAAACTGCAACACATCAGCTCTATCCCAGAAATAATATATTGGCCAAATCTTCCTTCTTGGGACCAGCAATGTGTCAGAGTCTGAAGCAGGCCTTGAATCACTGAATGATCCTCTCAGTGGCAGGATTATCATGTCAATATTATAGGTACAGTGCTTATCAAATGTGAAGACACATCCCTCGGGGCTTTGGCTACCAGTCAGAGTATTTTTACCCAGCATTCCCTGGAATTAATGGACTGTTCTTCCCAGTAGCTTGCATATTAACTTGCAACACCAGTAACCCATACAGACCAAAAAAGCCTCAGGCTAAGATTTTGATTCTGTTACTAGTGAGGACCATTTTTCATTTTGTCATTCTGGCCATCTTTTACAAGGGTTGCCAGTCAGCCTCTGAGATCCTCTGGTTCTGGCCTCTTCCTCATCCGTGATTTAATCTCACCAGCTGCCTAAACCCTACACTCTGGAATTCCCCCCCTAATCTCTCCTTCTTTAAGATGCTCCTTAAGGCTTGTACCTTTAACCATACATTTGGTCCTGTTCTACAATTTCCTCACGTGGGATTGTTGTCAAATGTTTATTTTCCGGACACCTCTGTGAACTGCTTTGGAACATTTTGCTCTACGTCAAAGGCTCTATGTGAATGCAGATTGTTCTTAATATGACCGTGTCGACAAGGCTGTGTCATCCTTGAATGATCTCAGCAAGCGGGGAATATTGTGTTGCAAGTGAAGACCCAGACATAGAACCTTCAGTTTGTTATCCACCAACTCTAGGAGCGTTTCACTGGGGCTTTTCATTGGAGCTGTGGAAATTATCACCTGATTTTATTGTAACAGATGAAGACTGTGGTGATTAGGTGGTGACTTTATCAAACAGGCCAGCATTAGAATGAAGAACAAAAAAATGAATTGGGGAATTTTAACCCTCACCAGTGGGTGGAAACCAAGACTGGGTGAGTAGTGGCCCCTCACAATGTGCCCTTTTAGCTACACAGAATGGAAAGAATTGCAAATACCAAGTGCTATTGCAAGAGGTTGTGCTGGAAAGGAGATATTTGTAATGAATATCAAACGTACTGAGCTGTAATTCTGCCATTGGCTAAATAGGAGAGACAGTGGCTAGTAGTATTACTGCTAGAAGATTAATCTATCGATCCGGGTAATGTTCTGGGGACCTGGGTTCAAACCCCATGGCAGATCTGGAATTGGGAGTCTAATGAAACTGTTGTTTTTGTCGGGAAAATCTCATCTGGTTCACTAATGCCCTTTAGGGAAGGAAACTGCCATCCTTACCTGGTTTGGCCCACATGTGACTCCAGACCTACAGCAATGTGGTTGACTCTTAACTGTCCTCTGGGCAATTAGGGATGGGCAATAAATGCTGCCCCAGCCAATGACGCCCTCATCCCGTGAACAAATAAAAAAGAAGACTCTCACTGTCTGTGCTGACACTGTCCGAACCCCCACTGTCCAGGCCCCCACTGTCCAGGCCCTGACTGCCCGAGCCTCCAC